TAGGCAGAGCACAGATAGCCCATTATGTAGCTTTTTGTATAACTACAAACAAACATAATTTTTCTGTAAATAAAGAATTAACAGTTGTTATAGATTTTTAATTCAAACAACCTGTACATATAATTTTTAAAAATAAGAGATTTATCCGAGTTTATATTTGTCTAAAGTATACATGACCTTAAGTACGAGTATCATAGTCACCCTTGTAATTAAACCAAATGAACCTTCACTTATAAAATTAAAATGGGACAAAACAAAGAAGTATCGCAACGTTTCGCACAAAGATGGCATAACATCAAGTACACAGTGCAATTGGTACAGTGTTTTTGCACTCAGGTGGAGTAAGGTCAAGTATACAGTGTAATTAGTATAGCATTTCACAAATATGTGGCATAAATCAAGTACGTGGTTTATTAAGTACATAAAAACACATCATAAATCAGGTTATGTACAAAACTTCAACCTTAAAACAAATAAAAACAGGATGTTTGGTTTTTAAAAGGGAGTTTCATCTATGCAACCTAATAACCCTCATTAAGATTGCGTTGCATAACTTTATCATCTTTATGGGGAACATTGACTTTTCAACTATTTTGATCATGATCCAATTTATACAAGTGTTGGAGCGCCCGAGGATGACTCTCATTAATCGTGGTAGTTAAGCGCCGTTTTCAAAAAAAGAAAAAAAAAATCCTCATAAACTGTTCATTCTATTATACACCGTATCCTTATGAAGTGGTGATAAAGTGAAACCACTTTTTGGTTTTTCGTTTGACGTAGAAAAATACAATATTTTCAAGAAATAGCTTAGTTTCTTTTTTGCTATGATGTTAGCAAAGATCTTAACAATTTTGGTGTGTTATTAAAGTTGTATATCTGTTGTGGCTGGTTAATATTCTACATATAATTGCATAAATATTAACTCTTTGATAAAATGTTATTGTTATAATTCTTTTTTATGTATTTCATACACACAGAGATCAAAACAAGTCAGGTTTAGGGTTGAGACACAGCAAAGATGATATTGAATACATACAATGCTTACTGCTTTATTCGTTAGTAGTTATCAGTAATTCAAATTTGAGTTTATTGTAGCTGGAAATACACTGATTGAAAAAGTTTCAGCAAGGTATGGCGAAAAATGTCACAGATATTTATATACCTATATTTTAAATTGCTTTTTTTAAAAACATAGCTGTATAGCTTTAGTTTCTCGGGACTGATTTCCAAACTTAAAAATCATGTGGAAACTATACGTTTTGCTGAAATGTTAAAAATTATTTAAAACAGTAATTAGACACTTGTCCAGACAGTAAAGCTAATACAAAAGATAAAACTAGGCGGTATTCAAACTTATAAAGCCTTGTGTTGGAATTTGTCAATTGAAGAGAAATGGAATTTAAATTATGACAGCCTAAAAATGAGAATGATACAGAATAAAATTACAAATCTTTTGGGATAGATTGAATCAATAAACATCACCTCTTAACACATGTTGTAAGACTACTTGTATATAACTAGCATTTTACGTACAACAGAACTGAAACATGATTGGCTAAACTTTCCACGGTGCAGAGTTACTTCACTTAGATGGTATTTAGACCTAACATCCCCAGAATATTTTTAGCACTTTTAAAGTTCCTCTTACCTGTATTTCTCAAACTCAAAACGAGGGCAGCAGTCCGTGAGATCTGTGGTTTGGGAAACTTTTAGCAGCAAAATAAATTGATGGTTAATATTTTGAGTCCATCAGTTTGTCTCTATCATAATTTAACCTCCATCATCTTCAGAAAACTAGAAAACGTTCATTTGTTTTTAAAATATCATAATAATTTGAAGTTATACTTGAGATCAGACTAAATTCAGCTGGAATGGCCAATAGATTTACTATTGCCGAATGAAGACATAGCTGGGTAAGTTTGCATGGTTATTTACTTCAGAAGAAAACATGCATACACAACAGTGATGTTTTTATTTGCGACATGGTTTTAATTAATTCAATACCAATTCAATGAAATCTTTATTTTGGCAGTTGATATTCTGTTTTCAAAATGCTTTGTTGTCACAAGTTATATCAACTTTGGCTGAGGTGACTGAAAACTGCCAAACATTTTGGTTCATGATAGAAATTAGTATTTCTTTTCATATAGTTATGAGGCCCGGCATGGCCAAGTGGTTAGGGCACTCGAATCGCAATCTACGGGTCGCGGGTTCGAATCCCCGTCCCACCAAACATGCTCACCCTTTCAGTTTGTTTGGAATTTCGCGCAAAGCTACACTAGGTCTATTTGCACTAGCTGTCCCTAACTTAGCAGTGTAAGACTAGAGGGAAGGCAGCTAGTCATCACCACCCACCGCCAACTCTTGGGCTACTCTTTTACCAACGAATAGTGGAATTGACCGTCACATTATAACGCCCCCACGGCTGGAAGGGCGAGCATGTTTGGTGTGACGGGGATTCGAGCTTGCGACCCGCAGATTGCGAGTTGATCGCCCTAACCACCTGGCCATGCCGGGCCTCAGCGATAAGACTGGGGGACTACAGAGCAAAGATAGCGTATTGTGTAGTTTTATGCTTCACAAGAAACAAGCAAAGACTAGATAAGTTTGTTTCAACAATGGTTAAGTTTTAATATTGAAGTTTCAGCGTAGTAATGACATTGAAATGAACAATTCCTTTTACTGATTCTTTCTGTGTTATACTTTAAGGTAAATCTACGAAACTCTTGTCTTCACTTCTCACCTGATTGCATTTCTAAGGAATGGTATATCTTCTACCCAATTTAAATGAACAAAAGAATGATTAGTGTCACTAAAAAAATACACTGATTTATATCGCACTTTTACAAAGTACCCTTTCTGAAAGCTTGTTAAATTGGGTAAACCTTATCTCTAGATGCGTGCACTAACTCCCTACGTTTCTGCTTGTTTATCTTTTTAAACTATTTATTCCAACTGTAACTATACAATTAGCTATTTATGTTATTATTGGCCTACCTTACAGAGTCACCCTGCTCCAGAAACAGACTCCACTAACAAATGGGCTTGTCACGCCTACGAGCCAGCATCAGACACTGATTTTGACGGCTACGCTACTTTTCCTAGAAGAAGTAAGTTTGTAATTAATTAATTAAAAATGTCTAGATTTATTATTCTACATTATGGTTAAGATAAGCAGATACATACATTTGGTGCTAATGTTTTTCTGAATCAGATAGCAAACAATAATTACGTACTGTTAAATGTCGAATATAAGAAAAACGGATAACTAAACGCATGCGTCCAAAGTAAATCCTTTTGATAGTGTTGTTCCGCAGGCACTGCTAACAATATCAAACTTATATCTACTATGTTCGAACTGTCTCCTGCCACTATATCTTAAGATATTTTTGAAGGAATTGATATTTCTAGTTATTGAAATTACAATGCCCAGACACATAGAAACAATTAGTAGTCATATAAATTCCCTACGCAATCCTTTCGTTGTTGAATCTCGTGTATTAACGAATTTAAGCAATCTCTTTCAGAAAAAATGTATTCATCTTCGAGCTTTTACGAAGATCCGAGTGCGAACTACCCGACTGTGGAGGAGCAAGTCGAACTTTGCCGAAAAATTGCCGACTCTCTTTCTGCTGACAAGAATCAGAAATCACGTGGAGCCAATATGTTCAATCGAAGAGTAAAAAGGTCACAAAAATGGGTTCACGAAAGTAAGTTATTTGCATTATATCTAGTTTATTTCTACATGTGAAGAATTATAGTGTTTTTGGTAACTTCATATTTCTCAAACGATCATATCCTTTATTTAAAAAGTAAACATTTTGGATTAAGTAACACAGAGTAAGGGCCTGGGAGTATTAGATTTGGAATTTTCATGACTTTAATTCTCCTTTTTTTAGCGTTTTCTCAATTGAGTTTCTCTGAACAGCGAGTCTAGTACTTTGTTCGTATATATATATACAAGACCCTCAACCAACACACACACAATAAAGGGAGTTGTTTTAGCGTAAAGCTACACAATAAAGTATATGCGTTTTGTACACCACGGGGAATCAAAACCTGGATTTCAGCTTTATAAGTTCGTAAACATAACGCTGACCCATTGGCGGACAGATTGAATGAATGTTCTGCCTTATTATAATTCATTTTAAATGCAACATAATAAGATCATGAAATAAAATCAATTCACATATAATGTTCATTTTATTAGTTCAAAATGATATATTTTTTGGCGTAATTTTTATTCTTACTAATTCAATCCTTGTTAAGCACAAGCTTCAAGTTTCAACAAATACATTAATGTGAACCTAAGTGTTCATTTAATCAGCAGAAGAAATTTGTATGCTTTTGCTCGTTTTCACTTGCACGTATTTTATTATTATTATTAATTCAATCCTTCTTAAACACGAACTTCAAGTTTCAACAAATACATTAGTGTTCATTTAATCAGCAGAAGAAATTTGTTCGCTTACGCACGTTTTCACTTGCACGTATTTTTTTTTCTTATTATTATTAATTCAATCCTTGTTAAACACGAACTTCAAGTTTCAACAAATACATCACTGTGAACCTAAGTGTTTATTTAAGCAGCAGAAGAAATTTGTGCGCTTACGCACGTTTTCACTTGCACGTATTTTGTTTCATGTGCCTTTTATAGATGAGACTCGCCTGACGTCAGGAGCTACATACTCGTACAAACATAAGTATGTGTCTGTACAGCAAAATTTCCATCTGCGAAGTTAGTCATATGATTTAGTTTAAAACATGTGTACGCTTACTTTCGGTGATGTAATACATGTAACAACGAAAGTGTAAAATATCTGCTCAGCAGAAATAACAATAAGAAGCATTTCAAGCATGAGGTAACTGCAATAAGGCCAGAACCAAATCACACGTAGAACTAGTAAAAAAAACAAAAAAAAAAACATTTACATCAACAATCATATGCGCCTTGAATATTGTGTCATCGTTCTAAAAAGTTATGTTCAAAAATTGAGATTATTACAATCTCTCTCTATGGATATGCATTTTGAATTTGAATTTTTTTTTCTAAGTTTTACTATAGTACTCTTAAGATGTATTTGTCGATAAAACATATATGTATCTTATTTGTTTAACACAAAAACCTTTGGGTTTGTTTCTTTTCCATACAAAAGAAATAGTTATAAAGTTTCACCAAAACAATTATTTATTCGCATAAAAATTACAGACATTTGTTTCTATTCTCCATATATATTATTTTATTATTCATTTACTTACTCTTTGTGAAACTTGTATTCTTAATATTTCTCTTATTAGCTTATTATTTGCTTTATTTATGTTTCTTTTCTTCGTTTATTATTTGGTTATGTCTTTGTTTATTCGTTTACTACTTATATTTCTTTTTTTTCGTGTATTGTTTATTTATATGACTCCTTATTCATTTAACGTTCGTTCTATTTTTTTTCTTTTACCTATTTACTATTTAATCTGTAAATATATTCTATTCGGTGTTTCTCGTCTTAATATTTAATCACTATGTTATTTTTATTAATGTTTTATTTACTCTTTATGATTAATGTAATCGTTTTTTTATGTAATCCATATGATATTCCTATTCCTTTATTGTTTACTTTGTGTGGGTGTCAGTTAACTTGTATCAACTGGAATATTTGCTTATTTTTGTTGCTTAATATTTCTTCGGTGTCAGAAACTATTTTGCATTGAAACACACACACACACATGCTCTTTCTATGATACTACAGGTACCTTGTTATTACCTTCAATTTACTTATTCATTTAATAATTTACACGTGTTATTTTTCATTAGAATGAAGAAAAAGTTATGTGGTTACACTAACTTGCGTGTGTAGTTGCATGAATTTCACTAAATAAAGTCGATAGTTTCTATATGATCTACAGCTATTTTGTTACTCTTGTTAATTAATATTTTTCGTTATGTTTCTGATGTATTTATATATTCAATATTAATGAGGCATTCTGGTTTAATTTTATATTTTACGATTAAGCGATATACAAATTCATTATATTACACTGTGTGTATGATTTATCACGTGAGCATTATTACGACTTTAATATTTTGTAGCTCTTAAAAGCTTGGTAAGTGTAGCGGAAAAAGTTTCTTGTATGGAAAGTTACACTTAAAATCCCATGTAGTTGCTAATCTTGTATGACTTTAATTACAAAATGTTAAAACTGCTCCATTTATTTTGTGATTTAAGTGTTATCTATGTAATTAAAAGACTAATGTGTGTCAGTCAATTCAATAGAATATGCTTGCTTGCTCAGACAGAAACTCAATATTTCTATTGGCTAATTATACAGTGGTACTTTTACGTCTATACGAGTACAAAACTACAATGTTTATAACACCAATTTTAAAGACAGTTATTTCAGTGACATAAAGAAACACGCAAATGAAGTTAATTATTTACCTTTCCGTAGCTTATAAATAACGCAATACCATTAAGTATCAATCCAAATTTCAACAAGCACCTAAAAATCGACAATTAGGCCTAAATTTTAAATACGCTTCGTACACGAAGCACAAGTTTACCTGCTATAAAATCTACGGCAGTTAGCCTTAATAGTCAATACCACAATTTCATTCATTTTCGATGCTCTATAGCTAACACATTGCGCGAAAGAAAATAATTACAGGTTTTAGATGTTAAACAAATACAACCTAGACAAATATACACAAAATAAGTTTAAAAAAAAACATGCCGACAGTCGATTTTTACATTTCTTGATACCATAATTCTAAAACTTCACTGTCCTATAACTAATATCCGTTGTCAACAATCAATACAGGCGCCTAAAAATCGACAATCAAGCCTAAAGTTTAACGATAATTTTAAAAATTCACTATTTTATAACGTCGCTTTATCAAGAGTTCGATCAAAAAAAAATTCAAAGAACTTAATCAAAGATGGCGATTATCCATATAGAAAAGAAAAATTGTTGTGTGCAGAGATACATTTCGTTTAGAGTCATTCCATGGTTTTTCCCTCATTTACTTTAAATTTAAATACAACAACTCAATATTCAGTTTACTAAGTTTTGGTTTCATTCATGTCCGACTACATAATTCAACAACAGCGTTATTTAAAGGATTTGTCTATTTAAAACATATACCCTTCTCATATATATGGTATCCCACTTAATAATGCCGCATATGTGAAACAAATCTTTGAGATTTGGCTCATATGGCACAGCAAACGCTTCTTATGCTGGAGGTCAAGGATTAAGTCCTATTTATACCCATTTTTTATTTTTGCTAAACAATGTTTCAGTAGTCAAATAATTTTAGTAAATACATCGTACGTGAAGCACGAGTTTCTCCCCCGGTTAATTTTTTATTTCGTTTATTTTAATCACCAAAACATGACCATTGGATCTGAAGCTCGTGTGACGTCAAGTTTAAACTTTTGGTCCAAGTTAATGAAAACAACGTATGAGTAAAAATTATTATTATCTAATCGTTCGATATTTTATTACATTACATACAGAACTTTCGACCTAATTCCTTTGAGATTGTTATGCAACTCACAGACGAAAGAAAAACAGCTTCTGGGTAATTCATATGAGAAAAACAAGTATTTCAAATTGAACAAAATTTATTGCAGTATATTTCCTACATCGAACAATAATAATAATTGGACATTTCCAATTCTTCCATGTATTATAATAAACAGCGTATTTCAAGATATGCACAATTCTAACTAAGACTACTTTCTATCTCACTCTGGCTACTTAACTTACTTATACAATATTCTAGAATCGTACTCAATAGTCCTCCTGTGGGATAGCGGTAAGTTTTCGGATTTACAACGCTGAAATCAATGTTCGATTTCCTTCGGTGGACACAACAAACAGCCCGATGTGGCTTTGCTATAAGAAAACATGAACACGTACTCAATAAGTTGAATACTAAGTCTAAACAGATATAACACCTGAAATATTGCTCAAGCACAAAATCGAAAGATAAGCTCTAACTTTATCAACAATTATCAAATAAACTTTGAATTATAAATAATTCTAACTCTTTGAACATTTTATATCCAGCGGTGGACTGGATTCGATTAAAGTAGTCAGTAATTCAGATAACAAGATGCTTTTTAGGGACGAAAATTCAATACTGAATTAATGCTGTAAGTTTATATATATATATAAGAAAACTTCAGTGTTTGCTACTAAATTAACCTCCAAAATGAAAATAGACAAAAATACAAACACAAATTGAAAATAGTAACAAAGTAATCTGAATTTATACATGTCATTAATGATTATCAAAGTAAAAGCAGTTTCCTAAGTTCAGTGCTCTTGTTGGCCACTCTATGAAACATGTTATTGTTTTCAAACTTATCCACAAGATCGGTTTTCATGGTGATCACGTTCCCCAATGGCTCAACGATAAGTCTGAAGGTGAGCACAGCACAGATAGCCCATTATATAACTTTGTGCTTAACTACAAACAAATAAACATGTTGATCACCACCAAGTTTTCAAGGTGTTATTGCATTACCGAACTTCTGACACTTGGTTTTATTTTATTAAGCTTCGAAAAGCTACTCTCACAAGATCTCGAGTGATTGAAAAAGTAAATACTACCATTTATGCCGGAAAAGCGAGTTACAAAGATTGTTTGTGCAGATTATTATGACTCAAGTAGGCAAATATGTATCTAACACAATCCTTGAATGAGCCA